ATAACTTTTGTGGATGTTTAAAGTCATACGTGTTTGTCTTGTGTTTCCACAGAAAGGAGAAACCGTGAAGAGAATACGAGAAGAGGTAAGACCCCGACGTCCGTCCCCATCCTTCTCTCATCTGTCCTCCTCCTCTGTCTCCTATTAATCCAAACAACCCTTTAAACGCATCCTGATAACTGATCAGAAAACAGCGTTAAACCTTCTGCTCATCGCCTGAATCCAACATCATTATAAATTCTGTTCTCTGCTGAGACACAGAACATGTCAGAAAAAGTCAGAACCTCCTGTCAAATCTACTTTATTTCAGGTTAAAAAAAAAGCTTCGTGTTTAGTATTTCTGGCCGCCTGACGTTCGTCACGTTTGCACATTTAGCTGCTCTTTGCTGTCAGGAGCCTGCAGAACGGCAGCGAGGCTCGGAGCTGTAGGTGTGGAGCTTCCCTCTGGAATATCTGTCCTTTTCCGCCTTGCTGTATTTTCAAGGAAACATAGATGCAAATAGAGAGAGAGTGACAGGGAAAGGACGCCGAGAAAGACGAAAGAGACACTGAGGAGTGAAGGTAGAGAGCGCCGGGGGACAAAAAAAAAAAAAAGACTTTTCAGTGACAGAAATACTTGTGATGCAGGAAGTAGAAACTTAAAACTGTGGAGCCAGTGAGGGTTTATTTAATCGCAGTATGACGCCACCCTCTGGCTTAATGACTTCTGCAATAGAATTACTGGCAGACTAATGACATGCATGTGTTGTAGATTAGCTGTAGTACCTGGTTGTGTCACCAGGTGGCGCTTCAGCTATCTGCTGCTGTTTGCTGTCTTTAAAACTATCAGAAAAGTCGGCTGCTCGGAGTACGAGGAGTTCCAAACGACAAGGATTTAAGTGACGTCTAATGACTTCTGGCCAGAGCTGATGTGTTTGAGGTCATGTTTACACGTAGCCGGCATTTATAGATAAGTGCAAGAAAATGGATGGATGGATGGATGGATGGATGGATGGATGGAGGTATGGATGGATGGATGGAGGGATGGATGGATGGATGGATGGAGGTATGGATGGATGGATGATGGATGGATGTATGGATGGATGGATGGAGGTATGGATGGATGGATGGATGGATGGATGGAGGGATGGATGGATGGATGGATGGATGGATGGATGGATGGATGGAGGGATGGATGGATGGATGGATGGATGGATGGAGGGAGGGATGGAGGGATGGATGGATGGATGGAGGTATGGATGGAGGTATGGATGGATGGATGGAGGGATGGATGGATGGATGGATGGATGGATGGATGGATGCTGCCGACAATCGATTAAGATAAATTTGTGTCCCTCGTTGGAGGTGAGTTGCCGCCCCAAGAGGAGTTTAAGAACCTCGGGTTCTTGTTCATGACTGATGGTAAAACAAAGGTATTGGTGCGTGTCGATCCCGTTTTGTCTTAAGCTCGTCAGTGCTGGACGTCGTTAAGCTCCACAGAAGTCTTTGTCATGATGTCCTTTGCTAGCTGAACTCTGCTTGCAATTATGGGTCGTTTGCTGTGTTCAATACTGTAGTGACCCTGAGGGGGCGTCGCTCAGGCTACCAGTAGTTCCATGATGGCAAGCAGAGAGCATTGTGGGATTTTAGCTAGCAATGGGCACCATGATTAAGACTTATGTGACGTTTAATGGCTTCTGTTTTGATAATGAAGTATACCTTAGAAGGATAATGACTTTGAAGCAAAGGTAGGAGCAGCTGTGGTTTAAGATAGCTGCACCAGCAAATGGAAAATAATAAACTGTACTTCATTTGTGTTAACTATTCATCAACTATTAATTGTTAATGCTGCCGACCATCAGTTATGGAACTTATTTAATATTTGCCCCCCGAGTTGTGCTTGAGTTGCTGCCCCAAGTGAGAGTTTAGGTATCTTGGGTTCTTGTTCACAAGCGATGGCAAAATGGAGCTTTGGCTTGGTGCCATTAACCGCCACGTAAGTCTTTGTCATGGCGCCCGTTGCTAGCTAAACCCCCACAATGCTCTCTGCTCACCAACACTGAACAGCCTGTAGTCTGAGCCCAACAGTATTGAACACAGCAAACGAGCTGCAGCGTTCCACCTCACTAAACAGTCAGAGACTCCACCTGGTGGAACAATCAGGTACTGCAGCTGATCTACTAAACTTAACATGTGTGCCACCTTAGAAAACGGTATCAAATCATGTAGTTTTTGCAAGTTGGACAGTGTGCAGGAGGACTTTGTGAAACTTTCCCTGTGGAGCTGATGTTTTAGAGACCTGGGAGTTCTGAGCACCGCTGCTTCTTTAGCTCGCGTTGACTACAAATAACAAATCAAACAGCTTCAACTATAATTTCATTAAAAAGTTAGACCTAAATCGAAAATCTAAACGCTGATCTCAAACCTTTTCAGCAGCTCCGTTCACGTCTCCCGGCAAGACGCCTCATTTGCAATCAGGTCAGACGCTGCAGCCGTATGAATACTTAAACATGTGGATCTATAACTTCAAATGGTTCGCATTCATCTGGCTGGAAACAGAACACAGGCACATCAGTGACTCGTTAATGTATTCCACACCTGACGTGAATGCCAGAGAGTTTTCTATAAGAGCGCAAAGACGCAGGGATTCCCCGAGGATGGTTACTGTAAAGCCAACATTATCCTCGTCCAAACATTCAGAGAAAGACGGAGATGCGTCAGGAGGATGCGAGTGTGTGCATCTATTGTGAAACGGCCACCTCGTATTACACCCGAGACACGAGCATGAGGTGTTATGTCACCAAATCCTTATTGTTATGTTGCAAAAGCACTCCAGAGTCCCTGCAGCGCCGGGCGGCATCAAATAAAAGCCTCCGTGTGAGCCGCAGTAAAATATGTGGGAAATTCTCGCATTGAGATTTTTCTTTAACTGCAGCTCGAAATAGGTCACGCAGCACCTTCAGCTGTGTGTTTCAACAAGAAAACAATGCGTGTCTGTGTTCTAATGAGCCTAAATTTACTCAATGTAGTTCCCTGCTTGCCTGGAAAAATGTTAAATAATAACCCGCAAATACGTTCTGCCGGGAGAGATGATTTTAGAAACGCGTGTCCTGAGAGGAACGGTTTGAAGACGGCTGCACATGAAGCGACGCTCGGAGGAAGCAGGCAGGAGGAGGTTCAGGTTCACTCCCCACATGTCACAGACGATGAAAGTTTGAGCTGAACTGAGGCAGAAGAGCTGATGAACATGCACGTGGTGACGCTCTGACGTCGTTTAGTTCAGGTCGTTGAGCTCGTTAACAGTCGGACCGTTAGTGAGAGCAGAACAAACAGGAAGTTTTGGAGGGAGAAGGTGTGGGACTGGAGCAGGAACATGACTCTGAATCCATCATCTGGTGCTGAGCTGCAACGAAGCAGCCTCGTTAGCGATGTGTGTTTATTTCTGGTGTTCCAGGTAGTTTGGCGGCTCCTCATTAAAAAGTAACTCAAATTCAGTGAGCTCACCTCGTTAATGACCTGCTCGTATCCGGTCCATAAAAATCACAAACTAATTTCAGTTTGGTTGCCTTCCTCATCGACATAGTGTTGCTGCGCAGCGACGCTCTGCTCCCAGTGCTCCTGCAACACTCGATGGAAGTCCTAAAATGTCAATAAGCGCCGAATCTTTTCTCTCTCGTGTTAAAATTAAACCTGAATTAGATTTTTTGGAAGAGAAAGAAGTCGCAGGAAGCAGAATCTGGTGATTCTGACCCGACGTTTCTTCTCTGGTCACCAAAATACATGTGAACAGAATGAGGACGACTGAAGTTATCGTTAACGCGACTAAAATGTCTTTTATTTTTGTGAACTCTCAGAAATAAATACACGAGTCACCAGTTTTTATAAAGCATATGTAGAACAGCAGCCATTATGCTAAAGCGCTATCAAGCTACCAAGTTTAACTATTAGGATTTGACAAGTTTATTTCATTTTGGACCATTTTTAAATCATTTTCAACCATTTTTGGGTCATTTTGAACATTTTATAGATGGGTTTATTTCACTGTTGACAAGGTTTCAGTGACGTTTGACACATTTTGATTGATTTCAGACAATTTTAACTTCAGTTTATGTCAGTTTTGGACAATTGTTGAGTAACTTTGTGCAGTTTTGTTGTCATTTTGCACAAGTTCAAAGTCATTTTGGACGATTTTAGAGTCGTTTGAACAGGTTCATTTAATTTGGATAACTTCATTTCATCTCTAACTCGGTTAGGACGGGTTTCAAGTCATTTTGGACCATTTTAAACTCAAGTTTATGTCTGATTTGTGAAGTTTTTGAGCAATTTTGGACAATTTTTTACCTCATTTTTGGCACATTTCAAATCTTTCTCAAGGACAACGTGTAGCAAGTCCTACACAGACAGAGCCTACATTCCAGTTTGTCAGTGACCTGATGAAGCTTCTCTTTGAGAACATTTTTGAGGTCCCAACCAGATACCCAGAGGACCTCCACAAAATCTCTACACCAGAGGACAGGTGGGCACAGTTTGAGAGGCCCTCATAGATTAAGACTGCTGCCAAACGTCTGCTCCAGATGGCTAATTCCTGTGTTTGCTTTGAGTGAAGCTGAAAACAAGAAACCGATTATTGAAAAGGTCCTTTATAAATAAAAGTCATGCTAGTTTCTGTCCACTAAACCCAGCTCTCTGCTACGAATCCACTTCAGAGTAAACTGTAGATTCTCCTTCAGCTGCTGACGAAACCTCCTGAAAACTTCTGTAACGTTTATTTTATTTCCAACGAATATAAACGCTCATTATTCACAAAAAGCACCAAAGCTGATAAATGACGGTGCATCCAAACGAACCAGAGGCTGAGCGCTGACTGAAACCCGGCGAGGAATAAGCGGCCAATTAAAACTCAGAGCGGCTCCACGTTGGCCTCCGCGGAGGGATTCGGGGAAACAGATGAAGAGGAATTGTTTTTTCCCCCAGTGTTTGTGTCTGACAGGAGCAGGAAACATGAATATTTACACGGATATTTGCCTCTCAAGGACGAGCCACGTAAATAAACCGCCACAGCCCGTCCTCTCATGACTCTCCTGTGTTCTCGGCTCCTCGCTCATCCCAAACATCCGGCAGCTTCTGCAGCAGGAGAACGTTTCGGGGCTGCGTTTGCACACAATGCGG